GGTTTAATAATATTCAGTTCAAGTACACAAGTTTTTTCTGTGTATCTGCAATGCCAGATTCTCGCATGGTTACCTTTGCCAAGGAGGTTATGTTTCACAGGCATTATCTGTTTGTCTATATTGTCGGCAGGATTTTTCACAAAAAGATAGAGCTGATATGCACCCAAACTTAGTTGAAAGCATCGCCGGGGACGAAACCATAGATATAGGTTCAGATCCAAGAATTGTGACACATTGTAAAAATCAGGCAATATATTGAGAATCTATGATTCGTACAATTTGGTGAGATCAAGAACAATAAATCTGGACTGAGGATGTGTAGGATTGTTTTGCGACTTGGCGGAGTGTATGTCTCTACCTGGAGTTACCATTCTAGTAGAAAAACTCGAGATACATGACATATATTCTTCTGAGCAACCTAATCCCTGGTACACTTTATTGTTTCCTTAAAATGAAAGATGAATTACCGAGAAAGAGGGCTCATCAAACCATCACAAACACGTCCTGAGCTTGTGATGCAGCCGTTGTTCCCAGCAGTGTTCCAGGAAAGACTTTGCAGCCCTGATACCTTTTTTCAGGTTTAGCAGATCTGAAGCACTGAAGCAGTGAAACAAAAAAGTAGTGTGACTGTGTTCTGACCGCTCTCACCTCAGACACGCGAAGACACGTTTGTCCTGGCTGTTTCGAAAATCTGAGTCTTTCATGGATATAACCTTTCAGTTAGTGTCACTTAAACACTTATTCTCTCTATTGGGTGTTCTGCAGCATAAGCAAAGCTATAATCTTTGCTACGTCTCAGAGAGGAAAAGTAAATATGTGCAGAAAATAAGTGCAGTAAATGACTCATCAAGTAACAGATTAGCTATTAAGTCATAAGATAGTTTGCATTAATGCCATTATTAACATTTCACGTCATTTCCAGTCAGGGTGTTCTTTTGAGTATCAAACACTCACCCCCGTTGTAGACTTGAAAGGCTGGAAAAACATTGTTTTGTCCTTGAACAGGGGCATCAGCCTGATTGATATTGGCAAACAATAGAAGTCCAAGATTTCACAATCTCTCTTCTT